GGGCCCGGGGGCAGCGCCCAGGGCTGGCATACCGCACGAGCGGGACAGCGGCCGCCAGCCAAGCCCATCCCTGCAGGCTGCTCCTTCGGCGGGAAGGTCTATGCCTTGGACGAGACGTGGCACCCCGACTTGGGGGAGCCCTTCGGGGTGATGCGCTGCGTGCTGTGCGCCTGCGAGGCGGTGAGTGGAGCCCACGGTCGCGGGCCGGGCTGTTGAGCACAGGGCAGCGCCGGGGTCCTGGGATCTGCCGGGGAGAAGGATACTTGGGATATTTTTGCGGTGGAGGTAGGGGGAATAGCCCCTTTTCAAGTGTCAGGTGCTGACAATTATTGATCGCCCACCGTGGGGCCAACTGCCTTTCGTCGTCTCTCACTTAACTCCCGCTACAACCTTGCTAAGAGACAGAGCAGGAACAAGTAACCCGCGTTTCCAGACAGGGATCCCAAGGAGCAGAGAGGTTAAGAAACGTGTCTAGGGCCTTGCAGCTTTTAAGTGCCAGAGCTGTCTGATGCCAGCTGAAGATCTTACCCTGGTCCTTAGACGCTGCCTCCTTAACCCCCCGACCCCGCAGTCTGACCCGTTTGCCATCTTGCACGCACTTGATTTTCCCTTGTGCTCTGCGATCAGCCTCAGTGGGGTCGCCGTGGGAGGGGCCCTGGCAGGGTCAGCTGCAAGAACATCAAACCAGAGTGCCCAGCCCTGGCCTGTGGGCAGCCGCTCCAGCTGCCCGGACACTGCTGCCAGACCTGCCCCCCGGGTAAGGCCCGCTCCGAGGCGAGGCACGGCGAGGCGAGGGGAGGGGAGGGCAGGGTGGCAGGGCAGCACCAACAGGTCCTGGGCCACTTGTTTGGGGAGGAGGCTGGCCCTCCACGTGGTCAGCTGAAGCCAGTGCCTCTTACCCCCCCCACCTCCCCCCTCCCCCCCGGCACAGAGAGCAGCAATCCGGAGCAGCAGACGCCAGGCCTGTCCTTCGAGTATCCGAGGGACCCGGAGCACCGCAGTTATAGCAACCGCGGGGAGCCAGGGGCTGAGGATCGGGCCCGCGCTGACGGCCACACGGGTAGGCGGGGACGCGGGTCGGATCTTCGTCGGGGCGGGCCGTCCGCAGCGAGTTGATGGAGTTCAGGTCATCTTCCTCTCCTTGCAGACTTCGTGGCGCTGCTGACAGGGCCGAGGTCGCAGGCTGTGGCACGTGCCCGCGTCTCGCTGCTTCGCTCCAGCCTACGCTTCTCCATCTCCTACCAGCGGTGAGAAAAGGGAAGGAGGGAGGAGCAGCCAGCCGGAGGCTGGGGAAGAGAAACGGGAAGAGGGAGCTTGTTGCTTCCAGCCAGGGTTCTGGATCCAATTTCACCAGACTTTCTCATTCACAGACTGGACCGTCCCAGTAGGGTCCGATTCTCAGACTCCACGGGTAGTGTCCTGTTTGAACACCCTGCAGCCCCTGCCCAAGATGGCCTGGTGAGATGATGCCGTTTATGAGTGCTTATTAAGTAAGGGGACTGTACAGAGAGCATGCTCTGTGTTGCCTGTTTTGGTCTTCAAATCAGAGCAGTGAGAGGATGGCTCTGTCATTATGATGCCCATTTTACAGATGAGGAAACTGAGACTCAGGAGCAGAATCTGATTTGTTCAAGGTCACACAGCTAATAGGTGGTAAAGCTAGGATTTGAACCCAAACATTTGGCTTGGAGATTGTTTCTCTTCCATATTCCCTTCTCATCAGTTCTGGCTCTCTTAGCTGGATTGTCCTTCGTGCTATCTGATTGTGGACTTTCTTTTTTCTCTGCTCCAGGTCTGTGGGGTATGGCGGGCGGTGCCTCGATTATCTCTGCGCTTTCTTAGGGCAGAACAGCTGCATGTGGCATTAGTGACACCCACACACCCTTCAGGGGAGGTCTGGGGTCCTCTCATCCGGCACCGGGCCCTGGCTGCAGGTAAAGGGGGCCAGCAGCTCCCTTTCCCCAGGCATGAAGATCTGAGCTTTCTCTTTCCTGGGAGTGGAGTGGGCCCAGGAGAGGATTTTCTGATGGATTTTCTCATGGTTTTCCTTTTCCCAGAGACATTCAGTGCCATTCTGACTCTGGAAGGCTCACAGCAGCAGGGTATAGGGGGTATTGCCTTGCTCACCCTTAGTGACACAGAAGACTCTCTGCATTTTTTACTACTCTTCCGGGGGCTGCTGGAACCCAGGAATGGGGGTAAGTAGTTGGGGGGAAGCCTGTGAGAGGGTAGGGAGGGTGCCTGTTTCTCAAATGCCCACATATGTGGCCATTCCAGCACCAGCCCAAGTTCCTGTGAGGCTCCAGATTCTCCACCACGGGCAGCTACTTCGAGAGCTCCAGGCCAATGTCTCAGCCCAGGTGAGGGAGGGTCTGGTTCTTGCTACCACCTGCTCTGGCCTCTTGCTGTTGCCCACCACACTCTGTTCTGTCATCAGGAGCCAGGATTTGCTGAGGTGCTGCCCAACTTGACAGTCCAGGAGATGGACTGGCTGGCACTGGGGGAGTTGCAGATTGCCCTGGAAAGGGCAGGTGGGCCAGAGCTGCGCATTAGTGGACACATGGCTGCCAGGCAGAGCTGTGATGGTGAGGCAGGAAGGGGCCTGGCCTGGCACCTTGGGTACATACAACTGAGGCACAGGCTTGTGCCAGGGAAGAGGCCAAAGTGGGAATGGGAGGGAGGAAGAGAGATCCTGGGGGCTAAGGGTGCTGGGTGATCCTGTCACCACGTGTCTTGCCCCCTGCAGTCCTGCAAAGTGTCCTTTGTGGGGCTGATGCCCTGATTCCAGTCCAGACGGGTGCAGCTGGTTCTGCCAGCCTCACACTGCTAGGAAATGGCTCCCTGATTTACCAGGTAAGAGTCAAGCCTGTGGGAGGTGGGAAAGGCTGCAGCTCAGGGCCTTGCTGTACAGTGATTCAAGCCTCACACCTTGGCTGCCACTCCAATTTGCCCTTCTCTAACTTGCTGTCCAGATACAAGTTGTAGGTACGAGCAGTGAGGTGGTAGCTATGACACTGGAGACCAAGCCTCAGCGAAGGGACCAGCGCACTGTCCTGTGCCACATGGCTGGACTCCAGACAGGAGGACACACGGTGAGAACTCTAGGATCCATGTGCCAGAACTGCCAATGTGTGCACTGTGGGAAGTGAGGGGGGTTGAACAGGGAAATAAAGTATCATTCACAGGCTCGTTCATTGATTCCTTTATTCATATGACACTCTTAGTGAACCTCAGGCTAGGGACAGTGGAAGGTATTAAGAAAAATAGTGCAATAGGCCATATAAGAAATATCAGAGTGCCCAGCACCAGTGGCTCACACCTATCTATAATCCTTGCTACCCAGGAGGCTGAGATCTGAGGATCATGGTTTGAAGCTAGCCCAGGCAGAAAAGTCTCTGTGAGACTCTTATCTCCAATTAACCATTCAAAACCAGAAGTGGCACTGTGTCTCAAGTGGTAGAGCACCAGACTTGAGCACAAAGAGGCTCAGGGACAGTGCCCAGGCCCCAAGTTCAAGCCCTACAACCGACAAAAAAAAAAAAAAAGTAATGTCAGATGACTGCTACCACCTGGGCCTTTGTATGCACCAGGTATTGCATTGGTTGCTTTAGGTACATCTTTTTTTTCTTCATAGTATACATTTTGTAGATAGGGAATTGAAGGCTCAGAGAGGATAAGTATCTCTCTAAGGTTGTCATGTGTCAAGGAAGTAGCAGAAGAGGTCCTGCCAAGCCTAGTGTTAGTGTTGTGGAGAAGGGTGTGTGTGGTGGTGATGGTGTGTGTGTGTGTGGGGTGAGATGTGAACCCTGGAAAAGCCTTAACATCTGGGCTTGTGTGAAATCTGAGGTGGCTCATCCTTTGCTGTCCCCCAGGCTGTGGGTGTCTGCTCAGGGATAGGTGCCCGCGGGGTGCATATGTTGCTGCAGAATGAGCTGTTCCTGAATGTGGGCACCAAGGACTTCCCAGAAGGAGAGCTGCGGGGACATGTGTCTGCCCTACCCTATAGTGGGCACAGTGCCCGCCATGATAGTGAGTGCCCCACAGCCTGCCTGCCCTTCAGTGTCCTCTGACCTGTAACTCATGCATGGGAGGGATGGTACCAGAGGGTCAGTCCTGCTGTCTTCTTCCTAGTTCTGGTTGGGGAAGATGGGTAGATAGAGTGGTCCTGCTAGCTAACTCAACCTGGTTGCATGGTTCAAGGCCGAAAGCCTCCCTCTGTCTCCACCCTGGGCCTATGGACAGTGCCTCTGTCTCAGTCTCTGTTGGGGATGACGGGGGTGGGAGGGGTGAGGGGGGGTGGGAAGCTGTTGAGTTTTAGGGCTGCTCAAGACCATTGTCTCATCTTTCTTTTTCTATGGACCCAGCATTGCCCGTGCCCCTGGCTGGAGCCCTTGTGCTGCCTCGTGTGCAGAGCCAGGCAGCGGGGCACGCCTGGCTGTCCCTGGATACACACTGCCACTTACACTACGAAGTGCTGCTGGCTGGCCTTGGAGGCTCAGAACAGGGCACTGTCACTGCTCACCTCCTTGGGCCTCCTGGGACGCCATCACCCCGGCGGCTGTTGAAAGGATTCTATGGCTCAGAGGTAAGGATGTGATGGTAGCAGGCACTTGGAAAATCTCTCCTTTTTTTAGGGGGGAGGAGTTGCTTGGGGGCTTGAACTCAGGGCCTCATGCTTGCTTGGCTTTTTTTTTTTTTTTTTTTTTGGTCGGTCGTGGGGCTTGAACTCTTGGCCTGGGCGCTGTCCCTCAGCTCTTCAGCTCAAGGCGAGCGCTCTACCACTTGAGCTACAGCGCCACTTCCGGTTTTCTGGTGGTTATTGGAGATAGGAGTCTCACGGTCTCTCCTGCCCGGGCTGGCTTTGAACCGCGATCCTCAGATCTCAGCCTCCTGAGTAGCTAGGATTACAGGCATGAGCCACCAGCGCCCGGCGCTTGGCTTTTTTTTTTTTCACTCAAAGCTTGGATTCTCCCACTTGAGCCACACATGTGCTTTCAGCTTTTTGCTGGTTAGTTGAGATAAGGGTGTCACAGATTTTTCTGTCTGGTTGGGCTTTGAACTCTGATGACCTGATGACCATCACCTGAATAGCTAGGCTGGCAGGCGTGAGCCACCAGCACTCTGCGTTTACGCTGGAAGGGTTGTGTGGGCCTGTGGTTGGGGAAGCAGAAGGCGGGCAGCATGGTGGTGTCACAGAGCCAGCGTGGGCTTGGGGTTCAGATAGGCGTGGGTATGAACATGAGTCAGGCTTTTATTATGCATTCTCAGCTTTGCATCCTCTGTGGATACTGTATAAGATGCTGAGTCCCTAGAGAGGTAGGAGGGGTGGACCCCTGAAGCAGCGCAGACTCTCATGGACTTAGAGGCAGAGAGGTCTGGCTTCTAAGCTCCACACCAAAGAGCTGCCAGAGGGACTGCTATCCTGCAGACCTTATTTGGGTCTCAGTTTCTTTATCTGCAAATTGGGGACAATAGGCTTCACCCTGAAGTGTCTTGTTTTCATCCTTTGTCTTGCTTCTCCTCAGGCCCAGGGTGTGGTGAAGGATCTGGAGCCGGAGCTGCTGCGGCACCTGGCTCAGGGCACCGCTTCCTTGCTGATCACTACCAAGGGTAGCCCCCGCGGGGAGCTCAGAGGGCAGGTAGGTGGGCCGTGGGCAGTGGGGATGGTGCCCTCATCCGCAGAATCTCCAACTCTGGCGGGTGGCGAGGAAGAAGCCATCCAGGTGCTTAAGGAGGCTGGCAGCTCACCACCCAGGCCCGGAGGCTGGGATGAGCGTGGTGGCTGATAACCTGGGCTGGGGCACTCAGGAGGGTGGCGGCGGCTTCTGCGGGCTGGTGGAGACCGAAGCCTCAGCCTCTCCTCCCAGGTGCACATCGCCAACCAATGCGAGGTGGGTGGCCTGCGTCTGGCGGCGGTCGGGGCCGAGGGGGCGCGGGCGCGGGTGCCCGGGGCTCCGGATGCAGTGGCAGTCGTGCTACCAGCATTGCCCGCCGGCCCAGCTCCTGAGGCTCCAGCACCACCCAAACCTGGAGGCCTTGGGCGGCCCCGAGACCCCAATATGTGCTTCTTCGAGGGGCAGCAGCGCCCCCATGGGGCTCGCTGGGCGCCCAACTATGACCCGCTCTGCTCACTCTGCACCTGCCAGGTAGGAGACCTGGGAAGGGCGGGTACCCGTGGGTCCTGGGTCTGGGGCGCCAGGCTGGCACCCTGTCAAAGCCCTCACCCCACTCTACAGAGACGAACGGTGATATGTGACCCAGTGGTGTGCCCCCCGCCCAGCTGCGCGCACCCGGTGCAGGCGCAGAACCAGTGCTGCCCCACGTGTCCTCGTGAGTTCCCGTGGGAGGGCGGGGCAAGGGGCACGGGGGCCGGGCTCGAGGGGCACAGGGTCGGCATCGACCTCGCTATTTCTTTGGCTCCACAGAGAAACAAGATGGCAGAGATCTGCCAGGGTTGCCAAGGAGCCGGGACCCTGGAGAGGGTGAGTTGGAAGAGTGCCTCCAGGAGTGGGAGGAAGCCAGGAGGAGGACAAGAGTGTGGTGGGGAGGCTGAGCTGCCCGGGTCTGCATTACCCTTGGCAGGCCTCATTAGTGTTGCTGGCCCATGAGTGGGCCCTGGGCTTAGGCTAGGGTGGGGCTGGCCTGAGGTTCAAGCCTTAGTTGTGGGCCTGGCAGAGGAGCTGGGTACTAATGGCAACTGGGCGCTGTCCCCCACCAGGCTGCTATTTTGATGGTGACCGGAGCTGGCGGGCTGCAGGTACCCGGTGGCACCCCGTGGTACCCCCCTTTGGCCTAATTAAGTGTGCTGTCTGCACCTGCAAGGTATGGCTGGCCAATTTTCTCTGGTGCCATCACCCAGCGGGGTCTGCAGAGATGGGGAGGGGGCTGCCTGGAGAGCAAAGCCCATTCTACCTGAGAAGGGCTCAAGGTTGGAACCAAAAGAGAGAGAAAGAGAGAGAGAGAGAAGAGAGAGACAGAGAGACAGAGAGAGAAAGTCCCTCAGGATTTGTGAGCCCACTTTCCTATAGGAGTGGGGAGAGGACTTGATGTGGTGGTAAATTGTTGCTCTGCCATCTGACTGGCTCCATGTGACCCTGAACACTTTCTGAACCTCTCTGAGCCCCCCTTTCCTCCTGTGAGCAAACAGGGTGCATCTCTCTACCTTGCAGGGCACAATGAGGGTTAACTTCAGTTACATAAGGGAAGCCCAGGCCTCAGAGTTAAAAGTCACAAATATATTTCACCTGAGGCGGAGGGAAGTTGAAGGAGGAAGTAGGAGGCTTACCATGTCCTCTCTCCTTTCTGACACCCTCACTTGACTCCCCACAGGGGGGCACTGGAGAGGTGCACTGTGAGAAGGTGCAATGCCCCCGGCTGGCCTGTGCCCATCCTGTCCGTGCCAACCCCACTGACTGCTGCAAGCAGTGTCCAGGTAAGAGGTACTCACCCTTGGAGTTGGGGCAGGTATTGCCCTGGGTGAAGGCATACAAGATGAGGAGGAGAGAGAGTCTTCTCAACAATTCAGCATGTACTGAGTATTGCACTGGGCATAGCCTGGAGCCAGCACTCTAAATACAGTGGAAAGAATGCATATGTATAGTGGGGTGAAATAGGTGTAGTTCCTGTCCCACCCACCCATCTTTCCATGCATCCTTCTATCCATCTATCTACTCACCCATCCCTTCATTCACCATTCACCCATTTATTTATATTTCTACTCATCTGTCTACACATCCTCCCATCCATGGCATCTACTCATCCATCCATCCATCACTTATCCATTCACTCATTTATCTATTTACCCATCTGTCCATACACATATTTCCATCCATGCATCTACTCATCCATCCATCCATCCACATATCCATCACTACCCACCAATGCATCCATGTATCCTCTATCCACCCAACATCCATCCATCCACCATCCATTCCCACATCACCTACACATGCTTCTGTACATCCATTCATTATCCATTCATCTGTCCATCATCTGTCTGTCCATCTAACTGCCCACACATCCATCTATCATCTATTCGTCCACCCATTTACAATCCATCCACACATTATTCCATCTATCTATCATCCATCATCCATCCTGCCAGATCATCCATTTATCCATCCGTCAAGGTTTCTGCTTATCCACTCATCATCTATTCATCCATCTACCCATCCATCCCTATCTATCCATCATCATCCACTAGTTTGTCATTCACTAAGTATTAGAAACTGCTAGATTCTGGGGATTCAAAGAGAAATCAAAGCCAATGGACTCTCTAAGGCTGACTCCTGTCACTTCCTTCCCAGCAGTAGGGTCAGTGGCCCACCCCCAGCTGGGGGACCCCATGCAGGCTGATGGGCCCCGGGGCTGCCGTTTTGCTGGACAGTGGTTCCCAGAGAGCCAGAGCTGGCATCCATCAGTGCCCCCCTTTGGGGAGATGAGCTGTATCACCTGTAGATGTGGGGTAAGTAAGTGAGGGACTGTCTGAGATAAGTAAGGGGGCCTGTCATCAGGGTGGTGAGATCTTTCCAGGGAAAGACCTTTCCAGACAGGTGGGTGAAACTTCTCTGAAGAGGCTAAGGGCCACCTTGCCCAGGTGTCCCTGAGAACTCTTACCATCTGCTCTATTCTGCACCAGGCAGGGGTGCCCCACTGTGAGCGCAATGACTGTTCACTACCACTGTCCTGTGGCTCAGGGAAGGAGGGTCGATGCTGTTCCCACTGCACACCACGACGGCGTAAGTGAGGGAGGCCAGGGGCAGCAGCCGTGGGCTGGCTGTGGGATGCCTGGAGGGAGGGAGCCCCTTCCCTCTAGGAATCGTGCAGTCTGCCTCATAGTGCTTTTCTAGTCCACTCTGGCAGGGTTTTCACTTAATTTCAATTCTTTACAAATGAGATGCCTGAAGCTCAGAACATTTAAGAATCCAGATGGAGGTTACGTATCTGGTGGAACTCACCTTGTTTGGAAAAGTCGGGCCTTTCTGGAGCTAGAGTGGAGAGGCTTGGCTTGTATCTCCCTCCATGACACTCTGTCTCTACTCCTACAACTATCCCTCCCTTCTGTCTCCAGCAGGACTTGAGACCAGGATGATTCCACAGCTAGAGAAAGAAGCGGAAGGCTCCTAGGGAGCAGCCAGAAGGCCTCACGACCAAGAGGAAGGGCCTGAGCTGGGGGAAGGGGTGGCTTTGAGGACCCTGCATCCTCCAGTGGGAAAGCTCTGTGCCTTTGGCTCCTCTATTCTGCCTCTTCTCCCTTCCCCACTACCTCTGGGAAGCAGAACTTCACAAGGGGAAGGGGTGGTCCAGCCACAGCAAGGCCAGATCCGCTCCAACTCTGCCCTGCTACCCTCTGGCCTCTGCCCTGGAAGCCCAAATCCTTTCATTTTGTACATAGTATCACTGGCTTATTGTGATTTTTAATTTATCCTCACTCAGCGCCAAGGGTCCCCTGATACCATTCCTGCTGCCCCTGAGCTGAGCAGAGTCATTATTGGAAAATTTTGTATTTATTAAAACTTTTTTTTTGGTCTCTGGGCTCAAGGTGGGCTCTTATAAAAAAAAAGCACACACACAATTATTTTATTTACTTATATTGTGCTGGTACTGAGATTTGTACCCAGGGCCTCACACTCTTGTTCAGCTTTTTTTTTTCTCACAGCTAGCACTCTACCATTTGAGCCATGCTTCCAGCATGTGTGTGGCAAAGAAGTTAAATGATCTCCGGTGGAGAAGGGTCTGAGAGTAGGAGGTGACAGGAAAAAGTTCTGGTTCAGGAGTTTCCTCGTTCACCCGTGGGGAGCTGGAGGACTCTTGGGAAGGTTGCAGGATGGCACAATCGCTGGCTGGCATCAATGCCTGTGTTCCACAGAGAGAATTGGGATTCTCCTTCAGACAAACTGGAGCTCCTGGGGCCCTGACGACTCAAAGCAGGATTTAGACTCAAGTTTAGTCAAACAGGGCTGGTGTTTCTGCTGACTCCATATTTTGAACTTGCTCCAAAAAGGGAAATGAAAGTGTCTCCAGCCTTTACTGTCCTTGTCTAAAGTGAGTCATTGGCCTTTTTTTTTTTCTTCCTGTTGTTCTTTTCTGGAAATGAGTTGTATTCTGAACCAGTTGGGGTGCAAGTCCTGGTCAGAGTGGGTTAGAACCAGCTGATGTTGAGTTCTTGACTGAACTCATCTTGAGATCTCGTGATGTGATGGACAAAATAGGATGAGAACCCTTCCCCCACCCCTCATTTCTGCCATCAAGTCCTGGGCCTTCTTATGGATCCCACAGGCTCCAGGGAAATAAGGTTACCAGAAAATCTATGCACCTGCAGTCCTGTTTTATATAAACAATGCAGGGAAAAATGAATCTGGGATTTTATCACCTGGAAGGCCAAGGGGAAGAGAAATCAGCCTTTGGATTTAGCATTAGGCCCACTCTGTGTGGTTAGCACTTACTGCTTAACCTCTTAAAGAATCAAGTTTGAGTCCTGCTGCTAACTGGCTGAATTATCTCACTTTGATGAGCCCCATTCCTTTCTATATGACAGATATCTCTCTCATAGGACACAATCAGGCTGCATTATGTTGCTCAGTGCTGGGCATGCATTTGTTGGAAAAGGCCCTCTAGCTGTGGTGGGATTTCCGGAACTGGCTGAAATGAGAAGCAGTGAGAAAGGCAGGGAGGGGGATGGGGTGAACATGGGCATCCATTACATTTGACAGAACATTCATAAAACTTGACCAGGGCCAGAGCCACAGTACAAGGATCAGGAGGACCAGAGAGGGACCAAAAAGCAGTAAGATTCCATGTGGAGCTAAGTGCAGAGAACTAAGCACAGCACCAGGTGTGGTATGATAGAACATTTGGTTCAGAATGGATGTGTTGGTGGTACTGTTCTCCCCTGGGAAGGATCAGGGACTTGGTTTGACAAGTCCCTCACAGGATGGCTTGGCAGCTGCTTCTCCCATAGTTCCCATGCTGAGGTACACAGCAAGGTTTCAGAGCAGGCCTCAGTGGGTATGAACTGACTAGGTCCAGGCAAAGCAAGGTCTTCTTTAGACAAAGGTTCTCAGACTGCCTCCCTTCTATAGCCTGCATTCTAACTAAAGCTGACAGTTCTGGGCCTATGCCAGCCCCAGGGAGGGAGGGTATCCAGGAATCTCAGAGGTACACACCTGGGCAAGGGACTTGGTGAACTCTGTGAGAGGTATGTCAAAGCCTGGCATGTAGAAACCTCCAGAGGGCACCCCAGCCATCCGTCTCTAAGCAAGTGACTACAGGACATCAGAAGGTTCTTTCCCTTCCTTAAAGAAACCAAGCCAAATAAGCAAGAAAATACATCAAAAACCTCACCCAAACAACAAAACCCAAGGAGAGGTCCAGTTTTCCTGGGTAGAGTATTTCAGTGTTTCAAAAAACAGTTACTAGTAGGATTTAGAATTTGGTTTCTAAGTCAGACACTGGTGGCTCACCCCTGTAATTCTTGCTACTTGGGAGGCTAAGATTGGGTAGACTGTGGTTTTGAGGCCAGTCAAAGCAGAAAAATTATCGAGCTCCCCCCCCTCAATGGAGAGTAAGACCCAGTTATTCTAGCTATGACGGGAAATCTAACAGATGGATTACATCCAGGCAGGAGACAGACCTATATCTTGTAAGAGCATCTACCTAGCAAGTGTGGGGACACTGAGTTCAAACCCCAGTGCTGCAAAACACAAACCACAAACAACAACAACAAACCAAACCACAAATCTTGGTCTGTATTCCCAGGGCCAAGCAAGCATTCTATACTGTAGAGGGTTTGGCAGGATCGATGGGTGTCTTTGGCAGGAAGATGGAACATAGAAGCTGGGTATCTGGGCAAATAAGGTGGTTCTCATACACTTGCTTTTCAAAGGGACAACATTACATACAGTGTTCTACTTTGCCATGTTCCACTTGTATTCCTGGTGACATTCCTACCATGTTTTAATTGCTAGTCCAGTCTAGGCTTTGGCATGTCTGAGTACAAACAGCCACCAGTTTAGAACTATGTCATGGTGGGAATGCCCACAGCCACCAGTTCACTTTTGGTCAAGTCACCAGAGCAATACCTGTGTGGGCATTTGAATACCCAATGTTTACTTTTGATACATGTTTCATACAAAGGGGACTGCCAAAATGGCTCATAAAAGCCATCATGGCTAAGTGTGGCGGTGCATGCCTGTAATCCCAGCACTGGGGAGGCTGATCCAGGAAGAGTTAAAGGCTAACTTGCAGTCAGCACTGAGGATGTTAGGCAAGCTAGAAGAAGAACACATGGTGATAGTGATAATGAGAGATACCACCTGGTCCACACCTGTCCTTTCCAGCTGTGTGTTGCCAGAGCAGTCTTTCCACATCTGATCACTGCTCTACCCAACACTTGGTTTGAACCCTCCCCTTTCTGAGTTATTTTGGTTCATGTGAAGGTTCTGTCTACCACTAAAAATGAGAAGACCCTAGATTTGGGGGATTTTTTTTAACAACAAGAAGAAGGGATTTCTGTGACACTGGCTTCTAGTATATGAGATTCTGTCTGCTGCATTTAAAAATTTTTAATTTTGTGACTGCATGGAAAGTTGTCAGTAAAGCCTTTGTCAGAGGATGAATTTTTAAGCTGGAAAAAAAGAGGCTAAGCAGGGCCCCGCTGACTCGGGCCTGTAATCCTGGATACTCAGGAGGCTGAGGTCTGAGGATCATGGTTACAAAGGCAGCCCGGGCAAGAAAGTCCATGGGACTCTACTCTCCAAAAAACCACTCAGAAAACTGGAAGTGGTGCTGTGGCTCAAGTGGTAGAGCACTAGCGTTGAGCTGAAGAGCTGAGGGACAGCGCCCAGGCCCAGAGTTCAAGGCCCACAACACTCAGGGAGATAGGCTAGCTGGGATGCAAAGTGAGATACCTCGGTGCCTATGTATGCCTATAATCCTAGTTACCCAGGAGGCTGAGATGTGAGGATTGAGTTTAGAACTAGTTGGGCAGGAAAGTCTGTGAGACTCTCTCATCTCCAATTAATCACCAAAAAAAGCTGGAAGTGGAGCTGTGGCTCAAGTAGTAGAGCACTAACTAGCCTTGAGCAAAAAAGCTCAAAGTACAGTGAATGCTCAGACCCTGAGTTCAAGCCCCAAGATCAACACACACAAAATCATTTGTAAATAATTATGGTAATATACAAGTGTGTGAGAAAGAAAAATTCACCTGTTTCTCTAAACACTGACAATGACTAAAAAAAAAAAATCAGAGTAGTTTTTAAAGTTTCAACTACTTAAGAAGTTAGTTGCCTGGCCCTGCCTTCTGCCTCATTCAGTTAGTACCCTCATCCTCACTTCACCTATGAAGTAGCTGTCATTGAGCAGATCTGAGAGGAACAGCAGGGGAGGATATTTATTTATTTAGTCAGGCCCCGGGCTTGAACTCAGGGTCTGGGCACTGTTCCTGAGCTGCTTTTGCTCAAGGCTAGTGCTCTACCACTTGAACCTCAGTACTGCTTCCAGCATTTCCTGTTTATGTGGTACTGAGGAATTGAATTCAGGGCTTCATGCATGCTAGACAACCACTCTACCACTAAGCCAGATTCCCAGCCTGGGGAGGACATTTAAGAGAACTCTCTGGCATTGAAATATGACTGGAGAGGCACGGAAACTGAAAGCTGGAAAAATACTCAACAGCTTAGGGAATTTGGTAAATTGGCATTCAGTGATGTGATTTTTCAGCAAATCGACTAGAACTAAAAATGGGGTCCTAGCTGGATGTGGAGTGAGCCTAGGGGTTATGCTTACAGAGGAGCAGAGGTAGCTGAGTGGGGGTGTCTCTTGGCAGCCAGGGCCCCTGCTTTGTGTAGGGGTGGGGGACGGTTAGGGACATGTATTTTCTTCCCTTCTTCCCTTGGCCAGGCTGGTGAGCCACAATTTCTTGTGAGACTCTCTCTTTTTCTCCCCCCCCCTTCCCCCTTACTGGGGCTTGAACTCAAGGCCTCACACTCTTACTTGGCTTTTTTCACTCAAGGCTGATGTTCTACCACTTGAGCTACAGCTCCGTTTCAGGCTTTTTGCTGGCTAATTGTAGATAAGAGTCTCATGGATCATGGACTTTTTTTTTTTTTGCCCAGAATGGCTTCAAATTGTGGCCTCAGCTCTCAGCCTCCCGAGTAGCTAGGATTGCAGGCCTGACCCACCAGCATGGTTTCTCCTATTTTGAAGCTTCTCATACTCTGTGGAGGTCCCTTGCTGCGCTTTAGGGACAGAGGCTCACTCTGTGTGTGCATGTGCATGTGTACATGTGTGTGTGTGCACATGCACATGTGTGTGTGTGCAGGTGCAAGTCCCAGGGCTTGAACTTGGGACCGGGGTACTGTCCCTGGGCTCTATTTTTTGGGGGGGAAGGTCTGGAGATGGTACGCACAGCCTGCTCCTGCTCCTGCTACTGCTGGTGGCTTGGGATGTTGGACATGGAGGCCTGAGAAGCAAGGTCAGGGTATCCTTATTTATTTATTTTTTTGGTCACGGGGCTTGAACTCTGGGCCTGAGGGC